GTGGTATCCTTGACTTGGGTACCAGTAAGTCTTCCCCTAGGACTGGTGATTTTTCATGATCAGATTATTATTCTCTAGCAGTATACAGTATTTTGTTTTAATTTTCCTTGACTCATCAGGATAACAGTTCTACCATATACTGTACACCAGAGCAAGCGCCAGGTCGCCATGGTGACTTGAAATTGTGGCCTGGCGCCTGGGTTCACACACTGCCTCCCATAGACTTCAATACAAAGTCACCTCCCATAGACTTCAATGCAAAATCCCCTCCCATTGAACTCAATGCAAAAACTCCTGTCAATAGCAATCCTATGTGAACACTCATCTCCGCATGCCACTCTATCACTTGCAAATCTGGAATGCACCGCTAGAAATTCACACAGGACCCTTTTCATAATGGCACTCTAAACACAATGCATGTGGATCGCATCTGTGTGAACCACCTCCATAGAAACACATAATATCTAGCCTGTCATGCGAATCTGTGATTTTGAAAATGCATCCACAATCACATGTGTGAACCAGGCAGGCTCCATTCACACCTAGGTGTTTTGGGATCACTGCAGAATCGCGGTGATCGCAAAATGCATTTTCAACGGCAGCAAATCGCATCGGGTGAAGCTTGTCGCTGAAAATTTGCCTTGCCTCGGGCACCAATAACCAAGAAAAAAAATGGCTCCTAATTTTTTTAGCTGCCTCCTAGATTCAAAGCAAATTTGTAATGTCTGCTGTATACTTTCCAAGGTACTAAACTAGAACTATGGATGAGAGGAGGGTGCGTTTTTTTTGTCATAAGATCTACATACACGCAAACCACTATATGTCATACATCATTAAAACTAACATCTCAGAATGCAATCTGGTAGCCATGAAATTGTTTTAGGCATATCAACAAAACAAGCTGAATAGCATAAACTTTCTAAAAGGGCTTGTCAGGCCCTTACATGGCATTTCTGAGGACATCCTGGGACTGCTAGGTTTTCCAGTGTTTTATCTGGGACACCTGGTGTGGGTGTGCACATTTCGAAAAATAAAAACAATGAATCATACCAACTTCACATCAATTAACCAGATTTAACAGTTCATGCATCTAATCTTAAAAGGGTGGAGTTAAAGAAATAAAAAAATAAATAAAGGATAAAAAAGGAGCAAACAGAAAAGCTGTCTTTATTTCCAGGTTTAGCTGCTTAGATACAAATAAACAAATAGTACTCTATGCTTAGTGTGCTGGGATATGAAGATGTACTGCAGACATATGTGATTGCAATGTTGGATTTCGTTTGCAGTTAATGAGAGCTACTTACATTACAGTTATGAATACGGAAGGAATTTAGGGCAAAGGAAAGACAGTGTTTAATAAACGAGGATTTAAACTGTATGTATGGTCAAAATTTAAAAACATATTCATTTCCACAATGAATTTCAATTATTTTTAGTCTACTCCAAATTAAAGATGGGCTCAGAGTTTGGTGTGAATCCAGGTTTGGATTGAACTTGGCTTGTTCAGAGGTTTAGATTAAATCCAAACGTTCAGGACGTTCAATGAGAATGTCCCACAATCCATTGCAAAAAAAAGCAACAACAAAAAAAAAACTATCATTGGCCACACTCTTGCACCTGACTGCTTTGTCCAAGGTCCCAGGCCGCAGACCATAATAGGCTGCTCTCTCAGCAGCCCTTTGTCTTTGTGTTGGAGTTTAGTAAGAGTGAGGGACAGCTGACAGGGTTAGGAAGAAAGCGTGTTAGTGTAGCACCACATCCCCCATACAGCTCTTATTAAAACTAGGGAATAAATCCCACATGAACATCATGTCTGGACGGCCCCTATAGAAAGAAGCAGAGGTTCCTGTGCAGTTATCAATTTATTTATCTACAGGGCAAAGCAGTGTTCAAGGTGTAGCCTCAAGAGGCAGGATACATGAGCCTATTTATTCGGGCAGTATGGGTGTTATACAGCCAGAGCATTTGGAGGAGGTAGTGGAGTGACTAACCAAGTCTTCATCATCCTTCTCCTCTGTCTACCAAGCCTGAGTTGCATGAAGTCACCATCAGCTGCAAAAGCACCTTATTCTTCCTCCTCATCTATAGTTAATTCTGCTGTTGGCCCATAAACTGGCATGGAGGAACTAGCTAAATTATTCAAGCACAGTGTCCGCCACTTGCTGCAAAGGCAGTGTGTAGCAATTAATTGAATCGGATGTTGAGAAGGACAACAAATGGTTGCATAGTCAGAAGGAACCAACTAGGACTGATGTTCCTGCCGCATACTGCCAAGTCACCATGGGTAAAGGGCACTGTTATCCTCTGGTCCACTCCCCAGAGCTCAGCTGTGTGACCCTTTTCCAACACGTGTTGCAGACCACAGTAATTTACAGTCTTTGTAAGCAGCAGCGCAACCCTGGTAATAGCATTAGTCATTTGGGTACCACGTATATGAAAAAAACACGAGTGCCCACCACGCAGCATGGTGGGAGCAGCACCAGAAAGTTAGTGGTAGGCAGCAAAAAGGCCACCCTCCTCCTCTCAGCTCCTCCCCTCCCACTGTTGCCACAACTATACAAGATTTCCTATCAGCAGCCTGAAGCAATACTGCTGAAAGCATTTCAAGGGGTGTCAGAGGTCTACTTTTTGGCATTTACAGCAGGGAAGAGAGTCAGCATAGTCACAATTAAGAGAAAGAGTAAACTGAAACCATGATCTAAATTATCCAAGCCCAACCTATTATCTCCAGCATTAGCATTGAGCAGGTAGGTGCCTCTTCCTTCATCTGCTGGAATAAAAGAGAAAGTACAGGTCCAGCCACTCTCGTGCATAGCGTTTCAATTCCAGTCTGACAAAATTGCTGGCTTTACACCTGCCTCCATTATAGCTGTTGGAGCCAGCCTCCTTTCGTCAATCTGCAGCGTGTGCTGTACTGCAGTGCCAGGATCCCTGGCCAACACTTTTTCACTATCCCTGCTTTCCACCTTTATGTGGAATGTAATGTTTTCACATCAGTGGACCTTGTGATCAGCTGCAGGGTCTACATGACAACAGAGACATGGTCTAGCAGGTATGAGCAGGGATGTTGCATCTCATTCTTGGTACACTAAGTCACTTTACCGGTGCCAGGGAAGGATGCTGGACAGGGGAACACCACCTACAGCTGGTTGTGCTAATCCACGTCCTAACAGTGATGGTGACAGATCAGTTAATTTCACCGCCTCCTCCTCCTCAATGCCCTCTTTTGGTGAGTCTCTCGCAACTACCAGTCTCCCCCAAACATTCACAAGACTATGGAAAACTCAAGCAAAATACTGCCGTGCAGTTTTGCAGCTTGTATGCCTAGAGGACAGGAGCCACACTGATGCAGAGATACTATCAGGGCTGAAGGGGCAGGCCCATAGGTAACTGACCCCACAACATCTTGTGCCTGGAAAGATTGTGTGTGACAACAGCACCAACCTGTGGTACATCCTTCAGCAAAGTCACACATGTGCCTTGCTTGAAACACATCCCAAACCTAGTAGTAAAGCAGCTTCCGGTTAGGTACTTACAGAATCTGAGGCATGCCAAAAAAGTCTGAAGCTAATGTCATACCCAGCCAGTGTTCAGCTGGGTGAAATTCAATGTGAACCTTAACTGCCTGTGCACCATCTGATATGTGATATGCCCACCTGTTGGAATTCTAACTTGTCCATGTTGCATCAGCTGCACATGCATCAGCAGGCCATAAATGAGTACTTTCATGAGTATAGTATGAGGACAGGGTTGGGGAAACCATTTTTTTTTTCCAGTGGCTCCTCATTTAGGACGTATGCAGCGTTCAGTAACTATTTGCCACCTTCTTGAAGCAGGATGCCAAGTATGAGAATGTGGACTGTGGGCAAAGCTGGTAAGTGAATAAAGTCTGCTTCTCAAGGAGCCATGCAGCTGTTGGTGCTGTATTAATGACTTATGTAAGCCATGATTCTGAGGCTCTCCAACTGAACCCTAGTCAGTCACCTATGAAACTGGCTGGTGCAATGCAGAATGGATAGGCAATTGGGATGTAGTTCGAGAATGTCGATCGGAAATCTGGACTCCTTTGATGACCACATCTCTTTTCTGTGTCAAAGACATCTCCCCAGTCCAACATGCTCCTTTCTGAGAACCGTCCAGGTTAACAAGAGAAAGGACTTCCTTGATTTCAGCTCAGGGCTGGTCAACCATCACAACAGAGATATCCTGACCTTGGGACATAGGCCTATGGGCCTGTCCAGAGACTGAGAGAAGTTGTCTCAAGCAGTTAGCACATTGAGGTACAGAGGCTTGGAGTGAAACTGGGTGAACATCTCTACCTCAAATAAGACCACCATGAGGCCCATTACCTTCATACAAAATCAGACCACTGGAAACTCTTTGAAGAGTAAGGCCTGGACATGAGCTTGGGGGTTAACAGTTGTTCCTGTGAAAGAAATGCCCAAGCTTGAGCCATGTCCAAGACCAGGGGCAAGTATTTCAAGTGCCAATGCAGACTTCTACACACTGAGAAGCCACCTGAAACTCTGAAGTGTCTATACTGTCACATATTGACTGCAAGGATGAGGTGGAGCAATTAGTCAAGGGGACACCCAGATATCGGATATTGTGGATTTTCTGAGAGGGCAGCACTGTCAGGATCTGGGAAAGCACCTTAGCAAAGACTGCACATTGCACAAAACTGCTAATGTGGGGGAAAAATTGGAACATGAGAAGATTTCGGAACTATGTAATAGACATAAAAAAAATGCATATTTACAGACTGCAGAAAGTGGCACACTATGCTTATGGCCATGACAAACTGTCTAAAGTGGAACATGCTATGGCCACTACACTATTTAAAAGTGACTGTTCCTGGCCCAAGGTACTCTCACCCACCCCTTTGTGCCCACAGCAGGGATGTCAGGGCCTTCTGTGCCAAGGGTCTTCAGAGACTGAAACTACTGGGATGCAGACTGCACTGCCCTGGACCTGTATTAGACCATGCAGCCAAATACACCACACTGCACTGCTGTACTGATGGAGGGGGAGTCAGCAAATACACAGTCTAGTGCCAAAGGCAACGATACAGGTCACCCTGCATTTTCCATATGGTGGGGTCCAGGTATGGTTCCATAAGGAGCTGCCTTTCAATATCAGTATTACATGCCAGGGAGAGGTCATCCACCACCTAAGGACACTATTTTACATACATCTTTTGTAAAGAAAAAGACCAGCTATTAAAGGCAGACTGTGGATGTAGAAACTGCTTTCTTGTTTTCTCAACGGAATGTCTAGTATTAAAATACAATATTTACAAAACAATTTTTTCTCATAATTTTTAGTCAGGTAAGTATAAAGATATTAACTTTCGATATTTCATATTTAAAATTAGCCCCAGTTCACACTGGGGCGGCTTTGAAAATTGCTTTACTACAGCATGATTTCAAAAACGCACATCAGTGCGATTTGCACTGTCAATTTCATTTCAGCTTGTGACTTCATATAACAGATGCCTATGCAAGTCTAAATGAAAATCGGCAAAAAGTAGTGCAGGAACCTTTTTCATAATTGCTGCGACATGAGTCGCTGCGATATGAACAGTTCCATTGCCAGCAATGGGGTGCAACTTGTCGTGTGATTTGGAACTGTCAAATTGCATGGCAAGTCGCACCAGTGTGAACCAGGTTCAGAGCCAGCAGATGGAACTCTTGGCCTCTTCACAAATGTTTAGATGTCTGTTCGGTTTGAAGGCAAAGCAATCCTGCTGTACCATTTCAACTCATATAGTTCTGTGAATCCTGCCTCATCTGTACACTTTGGAGTTGATTTACTAAAACTGAAAAGTGCAGATGTGCATGGTACCCAATCAGCTCCTAACTTCAGCTTGTTCCATTAAGCACTAACAAGAAAAAAAAAAAAAAAAAAACTGATTGGTTGATGCGGAGTTGCACCAGATTTTGCAGTTAGTTTTAGTCAACCTCTTTTTTGTACTATCCAGTCAACCCTTTTTTATTAAAGGCTTTCAATTTTTTTCATGCACATTGTAAAGAAAAACAACATCATCAGTGTAATAAATTATAAACTTAATGTAAAACTATGGCCTTAATTTAAGCAAATATACAGTGCTGCAGCATTTGTACTGACATTTTTCTGTTAGTACCCCTGCAAAGTCCCACAAATACCTGTTGATGCTGCCAGTGAAGTCTACCTAATACATCCTTCTGTGATGGGATGGCAACGATGCATCAGTGCTTCCAAATTAAGAGCAGGATTGCCATTCTTATGTAGCCTGTGTCTGCTTGCACTACAATGGGATGAAAAATGTGCATGGCTATCAGCATTTTCACCTCCTCAATCGTTATTTGGTCACACCTAGACTTGCCCTCTTCTTTCTGTATTGATTGCACTGCCTCTGTTGCAGAACCCCCCTCCCTCACATACACGGAGTTGCAGTGCAGTATCTGAGAGGAGTACATTTGAGACACAAATGAATGAGGGAAGGCAAAGGAAGTTTTTTTAACCGCCTCCTGCCCGCCATACAAGGAAATGACGGACGCAAGGCGGTTCTCTCGTTCTGGGAGAACATCATATGACGTCCTCCCACTCTAACCATGCGTGCGCGGCTCTGAGGGTGCGCAGTGCGGTGATCAGTGGTGCGCTTTGTCCCTCGGACACAGCGGATCATCGATCAAAGGAAAGAGCTGAAGACGTCGACTGTCATGTGATCAGCTGTGTCCAATCACAGCTGATCGCATGTAAATAAGGAAATGCCGGTTATCGGCATTTCTCTCCTCAGGAGCGGTCAAGCTGACAGCTCGTGAGGAGAGGAGAGCCGGTAATCGATATTCCTCAGAGGGGACATGTACACTGATCATCAGGGCACTGATGATCAGTGTGCTCTGATGATCAGTGTAGCCCCATCAGTGCCACCTGTCAGTGTCCATCAATGCCAGCTGTCAGTGCTTATAGATGCCACCTGCCAGTGCCACATCAATGGCACATATCAGTGCCTACCAGTGTACGTCAATGCCACATATCAGTGCCCATCTGAGCTACCTTTCAGTGCCACCTATCAATACCAGTCTGTGCCACCTATCAGTGCTGCCAATCAGTGCCAGTCAGTGCCACCTATCAGTGCCAGTCAGTGCCGCCTATCAGTGCCAGTCAGTGCCGCCTATCAGTGCCAGTCAGTGCCTCCTATCAGTGCCAGATATGAGTGCCGCCTATCAGTGCCAGATATGAGTGCTGCCTTTCATTGCCCATCAGTGATGCCTGTCAATGCCCAGCAGTGCCACCTACCAGTGCCTCCTCATTAGCGCACATCAGTGAAGGAGAAAAATCACTTATTTACAAAATTTTATAACAGAAACTAAGAAAAAAAACTTTTTTTTCAAAATTTTCAGTTGTTTTTGGGTTGTTTAGCAAAAAATAAAAAAACCCAGAGGTGATTAAATACCACCAAAAGAAAGCTCTATCTGTCTCAAAAAAAATTATAAAAATTTAACATGGGTACAGTGTTGCATTACAGCACAATTGTCATTCAAAGTGTGACAGCGCTGAAAGCTGAAAACTGGCCTGGGCAGGAAGGGGGTATAAGTGCCCTTTAGGCAAGTGGTTAAATGTTATGAGGCTTGTGCATCACATAGTAACTGGATTTGGGACTTTCGTTCCTGCAGGAGCCTTTAGTTGTACTTTTAATGAAATCAGTAAAACTGACCCCAAAAGACATAAGTGTCTCCCTTTATTGAGCTGTGTGTACCCAATATCTTACCTACAGCCAACATGACAGTGTCAAAAGCATCCTTTTCTTCTTTAGCAGAATTTATGTTTTTTCCAAGTCACCTTCAATTTTCCATTCTCCAGCTTCTCTATACTTGACGGTGTACATTTTCTTAAGACCTTTGTACCATAGGACTCCATGTAATCGGTCACTAGCACAGCCATTTGCTATAGGAAGGAGAGAAAATGCAAGGTCACCACTGAATACACTGATATATAATCAAAGTCAGTAACATTGTCACAGACCAATTCAGCAGAGCTTTACCTGATGCCCTCAATGCATTTGCTTACCTGGTCAAATCCCCTGAGAGGTATACTCCTAATCATGATGGTGGTATCCAAGCCAATTCCTGTCAAGAAACCTGCACACTCAAGTGAAACATCTAAAATCAATTGGTTATGGAAAATAAAACAAACAATGTCACATTTAAAAGTTAACATAATCGATGCATGAGATGTGCAGCCAGCAATTATATTATCTGTGCAAAATCCCCTGAAATTTCGGTTGCTGCTAGAGATTTAATGTTTGGTCTGCCACTTTGCAGCTGTCAAGGCCCATGTGATGAGAACCCATCCAAGTACATACTTTAGAAGTACAATTTAAAGTGGTCCTGTGCTTTGCAAGCCAAGCAACAGGGTTACTCCCTGCCCCCCCCAGCACCCTATTCAGCCCCTAGAAGCAAAGGCAAGTCCTGTCTAAGCTTAGTCACTGGAGTTGTACTTTACACAGGGCTCTGGCCTTCCCGTGTGACACTACTGAGCTCAAAGTGACTGCAATAATTTGTAGAAATGATCAGTTACAGTAATGAATATACTGCATGTATTATGCTATGGTGAATCAACCACTTTATCTTTTTAACTGGAAATGTCTAAGTGCATAGAAAGTAAGAGTCTTGGGTTCTTTTCCAACATTCCAAAATACAGTGGTCATAATTTGCAACAGATTTTAGCACCTAAAGATAGTAGGATAATCAGAAGGTAGAAAATATAAACTATCATGTGACTGAAAGCTCCATTTGGATTACCAGATAATATTCTGTCAGTACTTAATGTAGCAAACAAACATTATCATTAGCAGCTCCTGCAGCTGGTCTATTGTTTCTACTGCTTAAATTCTTACTAAACCCAGGACCCTGCATTCACTATATCTGGTCTCCCACAGTACACAGAACATGGAAATGCAATTATTTTAGTAAATATAAACTGCTAAATACCTTTTCTCATCAGCAGTTAGAGCAGTCTTGTGCCAGCTTAAAGCTTCTAGGAGTTTTCTTTCTGCTCTAGGAGGATGCAAAACCCTTGACCTCTGTCTGGACAGTGCCAATTGGCCCTGTGCTGATCACATATACTCTCCAAGAAAAGAAAAAAAAACAAAAAAAAAAAACCTCTAGCAATACACACTAAAACTGAGCATGTGCAGAATGGCTACGGTTCAGTCTGTCTTATCAGGAGATAAGACGTGGACATTTGAACAAGAGGAGGAGCAGAGAAAGTCAGGATCACACTGCCTTTTTACACAATGCAGAGGATTAACCTCTTAGGTTCCACAGTGAGTATAACAAGCATGCTTTACTGCATATACAAACCAGTCTTATTGTTGTGGGTTTAGTGATACTTTAAGATAAAGATCCTAAAAAGGGATTCTAAAGGCTTACCTTTGTTTTTTTAAAATAAAAAACATGTCATATGTACCTGCTCTGTGTAGTGGTTTTGCGCGATGCAGCCCGGATCCTTCTCTTCTCAGGTCCCCCGCTGGCACTCCTGGCCCCTCCCTCGTGTCGGGTGCCCCCAGAACAAGCAGCTTGGTATGGGGGCACCTGAGCATGCGCACTCCCCAACCGCTGCTCCATGTGTCCATTCACTCACAGAGCCGTGGCTCCGCCCTGCCCCCTCTCTCCTCTCAATGGCTCCCGCTGCTGTCTCAGCCAATAAGGAGAAGGAGTCCCGGGATAGCCGAGACTCCAGTGCACATCGCCGGATCAAGAGGGGGTTTTAAGTGTGTATTAGGGGGGACTGCTGCACAGAGAAGGTTTTTTACCTTCATGCATAGAATGCATGATGGTGAAAAACCTTGAGCCTTTAGAACCACTTTAATCTAATTGCTATTTATGTGGGCTACATAGGTCTTCCTTCAGACCAGTCTACATACCAGTTACCTATTGGTTCCATAATCTTACTACTTAGCACTAGGGAAAAGTCTTTAGGCTCCATGCATACTAGCGTTTTTTATAAGCTCAAAAACACTAGAAAACAAAAACGCTGATAATAGCGCTTTTGTGCTGGTTTGTAGTAGCATTTTGATAGTGCTTAGAAGTGTTTAGGAGCATTAGCATTTTATTAGCATTTTTACAGTACATGCAAAAAAAAAAAAAAAAAAAATGCTCGAAAAAAGCTGTTGGGAGCGCTTTATTAGCATTTAGGAGTGTTCAGAGTTTTCTTCTGCTCCTAAAAGCTTAAGCTTGAAAAATGCTTTTCGCATAAAATACTGTGCACAGACACATAGGAGAACACTAATAGCTTCTAGGAGCGGAAAAAAAATGCTCAAAATAGCTTCTAGGAGCTTTAAAAAAAAAAACAACAAAATGCTAGTGTGTATGGAGCCTTAAGATCACGGTTTTCATGAAATTTGCAACCACAGTGAATGACATCTTTGTGATAATGCCGATCACTGACCAAAATTGAAAAAAATTTACCTTGTCAAATGCTTGTTGCCTGGCTGTAACTAATGGGTTTACTGGTCACTGACAGAAACAAGTACAGAGATTAGTAGTTCTGACTGCACTTGTTGCATTTGTACTCCAAATCAGTGATGCTGGATATACTGAAACCACTGGGTCAGCATGAAAGCCAGGTGACTGGCATTTTCCAAAAGAAGTCCACAATGGCCGCCCATATATTTCTTTCAGGGCAGCCTAACTTTACAGTGGTCAACTGTAACAAAGTTTCCATGTGTTCATAACTAACAAGAATCACATTTCTAACGACATTTGGATGAACTAGTCCTTGCTACTGCGTTGTGTTTCCAGAAATTGAAGTACTCTTATTTACACCCAATGACAGGATCAGGGAGTTACAAATTTTCAAAGAAAACAGTATGGAATATATCAGAGGAGAGAATAAGCAGGTCTGCTGTAAAAGGATACAGCTGGCTCCAACTACCAATCTGTCAAGAGAGTAAACAAAAAAAAAGTACTTTACTGCATGCTGTCACATAAATACCACACCTCAATAATATCCTAATTATTGTATGATTACAAGATTAAAGATATAATCTGTTCTTCTCTGAAAGGAAAGGGTAAACAGAACGCCCTCCAAGCTCATAAAATCAGAGTAAATATGAAAGAAAGGAGAACACGAATCAGATTTCAATGCTGCAAAAATTCAACTGTCTAATTAAATACAAAGAGTGCAAATCCCGCTCAGTACTAAATTGTTATATGGTATATATATATATATATATATTATACAGGATTTATATAGCACCAACAGTTTGCTCAGCGCTTTACAATATAACGGGAGACAATACAGCAACAATACAGCTCAATACAAGAGGGTTAGGAGGGCCCTGCTCCTTGGAGCATGCATATATATATATATATATATATATATATATATATACATACATATACATATACATACACACACACACACATATATATATATATATATATATATATATATATATATATATATATATATATACACACACACATACACACAAAACAAACAGCTATACTTGTATTTTGAACTGTGATCTTAAAGAAAAAAAAAAAGTTGTGACTATATGAAAAAATAAAAATAAATGTCTAGCAAATTTAATTTGGTCCTTTGAGAAGCATTGCCAGCTTAAAGTCTAGGGAAAGGAGTACACATTACAAATGGCAGTGAATATCTCATGATATTGCAGCAAATGTTCTGATAATCAGGCTTTGTTCATTTTTTGTTACACAGTTTTCATACTCTTTTGATGCATTATTATTTTGACCAATGAAGGCAAAATAAAATATCAGTTGCTAGGGGGCGGGGTCTTGTTATATGCCAAAATGCACAATACATACATTTTCATGTGCTTTGCACAGGTGTTAATGGGGCTTTACTTGAGTACAAACAAGGAAAAAAAAATGATGCGACTACTCTTACACATGGCAAATAAAATAGAATATAAAAATACACTAAAATGTTGTTTGCCTGCTTGCAGTATATGCAAACTTGCACAATGAGTAACTATAGCAAACAAATTCAGCTGAGGAATAAGAAGATGTAGCAATGGAGTATGCAATCTAAGATAATGTGAAAAAAGGTAGATATATTTAGGAAACACTCAATGAGTATTATTAGTGGAACTCCAGGAAAAGGTTTCGTTGTGAATAGAGTTGGTGAAGTTTAGAACTACGGTCAGGTTTGTTACTGTATTCTGAGTTCCCTGCTGTGCATTGGTGACCACTGCACCCAAAATAGAACACAAACAGCAGTATAAAAGCAATAGGAATAATGACGACGAAAAGGAATTACAAGGGACAAGTGGGTATTGCTCCAAAAATCTTTACTCGATCCAATCCTAATTCAGCTTAAACCCTAAACTATTCCCACAATGTTGTTACTGGGCAACATCTAAATAAACACAAGTTCAGCACACATATAAATCAGTTCAATTCTGCACCTTAGAGGGCTGGCACTTTTCAGTGTACACATGCTGGAAATTCTATGCTGGGAGATGTTTTTGTGCTCAAAGCAGAAAATCCACAGCAGTGTCTCAGTCGCAGCCCAAAGCATAAAGTACTATACAGTGCCTTGAAAAAAGTATTCATATCCCTTGTAATTTTCCACATTTTGTCATGTTACAACCAAAAAACGTAAATGTATTTTAATGGGAGTTTGTGAAAATTTTTTATAAATAAAATATCTGAAAAGTGTGGCATGCATTTATATTCAGCCCCCTTTACTCTGATACCCCTAACCAAAATCTAGTGGAACCAAATGCCTTCAGAAGTCACCTAATTAGTAAACATCTGTGTGTAATGTAATCCCAGTATAAATACAGCTGTTCTGTGAAGCCCTCAGAGGTTTGTTAGAGAACACTAGTGAACAAACAGCATCATGAAGGCCAAGGAACACACCAGACAGGTCAAAGATAAAGTTGTGTAAAAGTTTAAAGCAGAGTTAGGTTATAAAAAAATATCCCAAGCTTTGAACATCTCATGGAGCACTGTTCAATCCATCATCCGAAAATGGAACGAGTAAGGCACAGCTGCAAACCTACCAAGACATGGCCTTCCACCTAAACTGACAGGCCAAGCAAGGAGAGCATTAGTCAGAGAAGCAGCCAAGAGGCCTATGGTAACTCTGGAGGAGCTGGTGGAAGAATCAGGGGGGTGAATCTGTCCACAGGACAACGATTAGTCGTGCACGCCACAAATCTGGCCTTTATGGAAGAGTAGTAGCAAGAAGAAAGCCATTGTTGAAAGAAAGCTTTAAAAAGTCCCATTTGCAGTTTTCGAGAAGCCATGGGGGGACACAGCAAACATGTGGCAGAAGGTGCTCTGGTCAGATGAGACCAAAATTGAACTGTTTAGCCTAAAAGCAAAAACGCTATGTGTAGCAGAAAACTAACACTGCACATCACCCTGAACAAACCATCCTCATCGTGAAACATGATGGTGGCAGCATCATGTTGTAGGGATGCTTTTCTTCAGCAGAGACATGGAAGCTGGTCAGAGCTGATGGGAAGATGGATGGAGCCAAATACAGGGCAATCTTTTAGAAGAAAACCTGTTGGAGTCTGCAAAAGACTTGAGACCGGGGTGGAGGTTCACCTTCCAGCAGGACGATGATCCTAAACATTCAGCCAGAGCTACAATGGAATGTTTTAGATCAAAGCAAATTCATGTGTTAGAATAACCCAGTCAAAGTCTAGACCTAAATCCAATTGAGAATCTGTGGCAAGACTTGGAAATTGCTGTTCAAAGATGCTCTCCATCCAATCTGACAGAACTTGAGCCATTTTGCACAGAAGAAATGGGCAAAAATTTCACTCTCTAGATGTGCAAAGCTGGCAGAGACATACCCAAAAAGACTTGCAGCTATAATTGCAGCAAAAGGTGGTTCTAGAAAGCATTGACTCAGGGGGGCTGAACACAAATGCATGCCATGCTTTTCAGATAATTGTGACATGGAAAGAAAATGATAAATGGTTTTCAATATTTTTACAAAATATGTGCCACTTTGTGTTGGTCTATCACATAAAATCCCATGTCACCTTGGCAAGTAAATAGAAGAGGTTTATTTGTCAAAAAACTCACACACAGTCAGGGTCTAACAGTTACCTGATACCACAGTCCATTGAAACATAGGGATTGGAATGCTTTTGTGAGTGCCGTTTAGATACAGAAATCTCAAATTCAGACTTGTTGCTCATTTAACAGCCATGTGAACACCATGAACATATAAAAGTTATACTGTCAAATGTTCACATATGGCTCCTTTAATGTTCGATCTAGTAGATCTTTGGACTGCTCTCTAGTTCCATAGAGTATGGAATAAACTTGAAGTACACTAGATTGCCAAAAGTATTGGGATACCTGCCTTTACACGCACATGAACTTTCATTATTATTATTATACAGGATTTATATAGCACCAACAGTTTGCGCAGCGCTTTACAATGTGAGGGCAAACAGTAGTTACAACACAAATGAAAACAGGAGGAATCAGAGGACCCTGCTTGTTAGAGCTTACAATGGCATCCCTGTCTTAGGCCGTAGAGTTCAATATTGAGTTGGCCCACCCTTTGCAGCTATAACAGCTTCAACTCTCCTGGGAAGGCTTTCCACCAGGTTTAGGAATGTGTCTATGGGAATGTTTAACCATTCTTCCGGAAGAGCATTTGTGAGGTCAGGCACTGATGCCAGGTGAGCAGACCTGGCTCACAATCTCCACTTTAATTCATCCCAAAGGTGTTCTATCGGATTGAGATCAGGACTCTATGCAGACCAGTCAAGTTCCTCCACCCAAACTCGCTCATCCATGTCTTTATGGACCTTGCTTTGTGCGATGGTGCGCAGTCATGTTGGAACAGGAAGGGGCCATCCCCAAACTGTTCCCACAAAGTTGGGAGCATGAAATCGTCCAAAACGTCTGTGTGTCTCTACGTGTTGTACTAATCTGAAGGCCACATGAAGCTTGGAGGTCTTTAGCTATTGACTCTACAGACAGTTGATGACTTCTACGCACTGTATGCTTCAGCATGTGCTGACTCCGCTCTGTCATTTTACGTGGTCTACCACTTTGTGGCTGAGTTGCTGCTGTTCCCAGTTGCTTCCACTTTGTTATAATACCACGAACAGTTGACCGTGGAATATTTAGTAGCAAAGAAATTTCACGGATGGACTTATTGCACAGGTGGCAACCTATCACACGGTACCATGCTTGAATGCACTGAGCTCCCGAGAGCGACCCATTTTTTCATAAATGTTTGTAGAAGCAGTCTGCATGCCTAGGTGCTTGATTTGGAGGGGTGTCCCAATAAGTTTGGCAATATAGTGTATATTGTCAGCCAAGGAACATGTTGATGCTACCTTTGAGCATGTAGTTGTATTTAGGCATCACAGATAACCCAGTTACTGGTAAGTAGGAGAGGTACAATATGTTTAATGCTGGTGCTTCACTAGCAGTAAAAAATTGACTGATTTTCTACTTTAAAAGGCTAATTTCACCTTTAAACTCTTTTTAAATGAAATTCAAATATTTTTCTTGCAGGTAACAAAATGTGCATTTACTATTTTTTTTTGTAGGAGTCTGGAAAGCATTGCACCAGTGATCAGCAGATAGCTAGTGCCATGCAGGGCTTCTGCAGACTGTCAGTGTAATCTGTCTGCTCGTACCTCATATGTTCAGGAGGTTACACAATGACTGGAAGACTCCATGAACTACCTAGAGCGCTCAACTGTGCCTTGAAAACTACAATCCGATAGCTGCAAAGGATGTCGTAATGAACTCTGTAAATGAATGATGCTGATGTGTGGGCGGAGCCCAGCAGGCCACGCACTGCTATCACACAGAGGCAGCTGATTGATGAGCAGCTGCAGGAGTGGAAACAAGTTACATGTTCCACCCTAAAAACAGGTGGAGCAAGTAACTTATTCCCAAAAAGTGAACCTATCCTTTAAGACCAAGGCACAATTGCATTCTGAAAGCTACTGTGATCTGGATTTTAAACTCAGAAGTTGGTCCATGCTCATAGTGCCTAGTTTGTAAAGAATCAATGGGATTATTATCAGATACCTGTTTAGCTCAGTGGACTGAATTTAATAGTCAGTATGAGTCACAGAGCTATACCAGATTTCACCAGCAGAAACAGTTTTCAGTAAAACAGAAAAGCTGTGCTTGGAGTTTCCCTCTGTATTACTACAAATAGGGGATTTCCTTTTAAACTGGAAATCCCCTTTAATGCATTGCATCTTTCCATAAATACCCCAGCCTTAATCTCTGAATGTTTTTACCAAAGATAAGTGTTTACAGTTTACAAGAGCGGCATGAAGTGTTTGTTCGCTGCCTATCATTTTAATGACTGCTCTCACTTTAATGGCCACTTGCAAAAATCTTACAACACATGTTTGACTCTAACCAACATGTTTGCACAACCATAAACCATCCCCTCCCTTCTGCTGCAGGTCTCTGTTTAAATACGGTGAAAAGCTTTCAAACATCCCTCATTTCTGGGGTGTTTAGTTAGATATCAGCCATCAGGGACATGAAATGTGGGTGGCCTCGTCATAGGAGATCTCTGCACTTTTGGGAGGCATCAGGATAACGCCGGAAAACCCCATTTTAACGTCACTTGTAATCCCTCTTGCTACTAATAATATAATTCCCTTTTAAGAAAACAAGCATTATACCTCAGAGAACAAGGCTGGAGAAGCTGCTGGGGCCAGCAGTTAGATGGCAGATTCCGTGAGCTACAGGTGACAGGAATGTGCCTGGGGTCATTGTCTAGAGTACAAAAAGTGAAGCTTCTCAGACAGCTCAAGCTTACAACTGCCCAACTATTGTACAACTAGGTTTAACTGATATTCCAGCAGATCAGACTTGGATTTACATATCTTAGCAAGGAAGAGCTGTACAGTCAAAGGCTTGTTGGCAGTCACCGTAAAAAGAACTGACTATGAGATGTATTGTATAGGTTTTGGAAGTAGCACAGGGGACTTACTGTATAGCAACATCATTAGAGCAGTTAATTTGTAATTTATTTTCCATATTTTATCAAAGAGTTAGTTCTGCACAATTACACAAATTGGGAAATGTCAGCTCTGTACTATGTAGAGCATGTCAAATAGATTTGTGACATATGCTAAAGTTATTTATTTTTTTTAAAGACAAAGGGCAGAAATGAGTGACATAAAATCAAGTGTATGCTTCATACAGTTTAATGTCTAATGCATGGGGAAAGGGCAGGGGATCAATTTAATGTACAGTTCAGACATCTTGAGAAGAAAGAGCTACGACTATCCAGAGGGGAAAAAAGCAGCCACAGAAAGCAAAGTCTTATTTATGATAATGCTTCTGCAGAGTCCAAATTCATGAATGTTAACATCAGTTTGAACAGGGTTTTGGGAATCAAGACCTGCAGCTGAGCAGAGGTGCTCCAACCAATATCAATTTATAGAGCTTCAAAAGTTCAAACTCCAAGCAAACAGTAAAAGACTGGATTTGAAGAATATACATTATCACCAATTTTACCTACCCAAAAATTTTGAATTTCCTACAGGCAGTCTTTTCATCCAGTCACCCCTGCTAGTTAACATAGCCAGGTCTTGGCCATCCTTAGCAGCTACTGTACTACACCAGGATCTGGCTACATTACCAACCTGCTCCAAAACTCAATTGGCTCTTAGCACTGTCCTCCCTAATCCCATCTGAGTGCATTTTCTGATACTTACACTACATGCATTTAAATGGGTTTAACTTTATTCTAGAATACATAACTATATTATCAAATTTGTTTTTATGTGCACAGTTCAGCTATAAAGGACAACATAAAATACCCAGGCCAACATTAAATATTCCAAATTTGAAAACATGAGCAGTAGAACCTCAGGGTCTACACTATTACAAATTATTACATCATTATAGATTTCTGGCCAGAAAGAAGCAAGCCTGGCTGGAGGCTTTGTCAGGGACACATAAGCTGCCAGAATGTGTTTATAGCTTCTTAGAGTTATGCAGAATGGGGAAATGTTTTTTTCTGTGAGAGATATATAAGGGGTCCCAGTTTTTATGCCAGGCCCTGTGGCTTTCAACTCAGCCTCTCACACTGAATATAGAAGTACATGCAAGTCACACGTGGAAATGTCTGGTACATGCCATCTCCAACATATCATACAATAAATCTATAAAACACCCAAGAAATGACAGTCACTTACAAGTCTCAACAACATATGTTTAATAACTTTTAAAGGAGATTCCAGCACTGTTTTTCTAGCAACCCTTCTAGCTGTTCAAACAATTAATACCAGAGGTGGTATAAAGGGATTTGACAAAAAAATTAAAACCATAACTCTGCTTGATTCTACTGTCATAGAAGAATGTGTACACTATATTCTATAGTTTTACAATCTCAGAAAAAATATTCATTAATGTATCCAAGGAGCTGTAATCTGTCATACATTTTTTTGAGTAGCACCAAAGTCAAATATGCAGATTTTTTAATATTGTTGAAAAGTGCCTACTTTTGTACAGAGTGTGAAAGCAAAGACATGCGCTTTCTGATACATAGGTCCAGAACACACACATGTATCTATTTCTCAGATCAATGCGTAAGGTTTCAAACTCCATCTGAACAGCTCTCTCCCAGCTGTTGAAATAGAGGCTGATAATGTACAGAAATGCTACAGTAGACCCTCAAGGCTTATTTTGACTAAGGCTCTGGAATGCAACATGTAAACATTAGACTCCTCTATTACACTGTTACGACTTGCATTAACAGTAACTGGACAAAAGCAGCATTTTCGTAGATATGTATTAGAAGGATACAGGTTTTTTTAAGCAGCTTCCTCACATTAATCATGCAAGGAGAATTTCTGAGGACGCTGACACATTGTAAACATGTAAAAACCCTAAGTGGAACTTGTAGGACAAATGTCGCATTTTAAAGCTGAAGGAACAGCCACAGGCTCCTGTCCTACGGTAAACAGTCTAGCACTGAGATGCAACAGGTACAGAATAGATTGATTACATGGAAACTTGGTAATGAAGGGTAAAGCCTCAACAAGAGGGCAACAGGAAAATTAACCTTTTTTAAAAGAACTTACACATTGAGCTTAACACCAAGCTTAAACAAAAACGGAGGAGGTCGCAGAAAAAGCCCAAGGTAAAAATAGGAAAATGAGATTGAGAATGCTATACTTTAACAAAATGTTGGAGGTCCTTACTTCACAACTCTAGATTTTATTCCACGAATCAGCATAAAGAAAAACAGCAAATATTTAAAAAGGTACCCATACTAAATGATCATTGATCAATCCAGCCATTTTTTTTTTTGCAAAGTTCTACACTTGTCAGATGACAAACTTGGTTGACTAATCTCAAGGGTAAACTGATGGGCCCAAGACTAGGCCTACATACAGTGCTCAGCATAAATGAATACACCTCTTTTGAAAAGTAAGATTTTAATCAATATCTCAATTAACACAATATCTGAATGAATACAAGAACAATTTCCAAAATTTTGACAAAACTGAGTTTTATAAAACATTTACTTAGCTCATTACATGAAAGTAAGGTTAATAACATAACTTAGATTACAAAATCTTCAGTTTTACTTAAGTTAATTGATGCAAAAAATGAATACACCCCACAACAAAAACTACTTCATCTAGTATTTTGTATGACCTCCATGATTTGTAAAGGACAGCACCAAGTCTTCTAGGCATGGAATGAACAAGTTGGTGGCATATTAAAACATCTATCTTTTTCCATTCTTCACGAACGTCCTCTTTTAGAGCCTGGATGCTGGATGGAGAGTGATGCTCAACTTGTCTCTTCAGAATTCCCCATAGGTGTTCAATTGGGTTCAGATCAGGAGACATACTTGGCCACTGAATCACTTTCACCCTGTTCTTCTTCAGAAATGCAACAATGGCCTTAGATGTGTGTTTTGGATCATTGTCATGTTGGAAAAGTGCACGACGACCAAGAGCACGGAGTGATGATAGCCTCTTCTTTTTCAATATAGAACAGTACATCTGTGAATTCATGATACCATCAATGAAATGCAGCTCCCAGACACCAGCAGCACTCATACAGCCCCACAGAAGGACATTGCAATAACCATGTTTCACTGTAGGCACCATGTCCTTTTCTTTGTACTCCTCACCTTTGCGACGCCATACAGTTTTGAACCCATCTGTTCCAAAAACATTTATCTTTATAAATACTGTATAATAATAATAATCTTGGTC